TGAACTCTGAACTGTCTCTGTGATCAGTGTGTCCTGTCTCTCTGTCCTGTCACTGTGGTCAGTGTGTACTGTCTTCCGCTCTGATCCATGTGTCCTGTCTGTCTCTGCCCTGTGCTGTTCGCTTGTGTGCCCCAAGTGAACTCCAGGACTGTTTGTTACCACTCAGTTCACCTTGTACCAGTTTGAGAAATGTCAACAAGTCTGCAGGGAAATCACCACACAAGAGCACAGTGCAGTACAAACAAGCCAGGAATCCCCTGTGAACAGGCACACAGACTCGTACCTACAGCAACTACTGCACAGCAGCAACACACAGCTGGTGTACTGTACAGCCTGGAACAGCACAAACACACAGCTACTGTACTGTACAGCCTGGAACAGCACAAACACACAGCTACTGTCCAATACAGCCTGGAGCAATAGCAACACACAGCTAGTGTACAACACAGCTTGGAGCAACAACAACACACAGCTACTGTACAACACAGCTTGAAACAACAACACATAGCTCTGTGCAAAACAACCTAGTGCAGTGTGAACACAAACTTATTGTACAAAACAGTCTGTAACAACGTTAACACAAAACTACTGTATAACACAGTCTGGAACAACATCAACACAAAGCTACTGTACAACACAGTCTGAAACAACATCAGCACAAAGCTGCTGTACAACACAGTCTGAAACAACATTAGCACAAAGCTACTGTACAACACTGTGTGGAAAGAAAGCCTGGGAAAGTGCAAAGCTGGTACAATGAGCATCTTTAGAAAGGCTGCTGTTTGCTCTGGGTGTTGGCTGGACAATAGGAGAGGGCACAGGGATTATTGAGAAACAGAGGGGCACAGTGGCCATTGTGTAGCTGGGGGTTCTGCCCAGGGCCAGAGAAAGAGGCCTCAGGAAGTTCCTTACGCACAGAGACTTTCCCACAGCACCTATTCAGTCCTTGTGCAAGAATCCAGCTGCACTGAAAGGCCCCGGACACTGGGATCACCAGAACCAGGCCCGGGAACTTCCAGTGGACACTGGGATCACCAGAACCAGGCCCGGGAACTTCCAGTGGACACTGGGATCACCAGAACCCGGCCTGGGAACTTCCAGTGGACACTGGGATCACCAGAACCAAGCCCAGGAACTTCCAGTGGACACTGGGATCACCAGAACCCGGCCCGGGAACTTCCAGTGGACACTGGGATCACCAGAACCCTGCCCGGGTATTTCCAGTGGACACTGGGATCACCAGAACCAGGCCCAGGAATCCCCAAGCTGACACCTGGTCAGAATCCAGGACAGGAGAAGAGAGGGAGGAGAGAGAGAGAGAGAGGACAGGAGAAGAAATGAGAGACAGAGGACAGGAGATAATAGAGATGAGACAGAGGACAGGAGAAGAAATGAGAGACAGAGGACAGGAGATAAGAGAGATGAGACAGAGGTCAGGAGAAGAGAGGGACGAGGGAGAGAAAGAGAGATCAGAAAGGAAGAGGGTGAGGGAGAGCTGTGTCTTTGTCTGCTGTCTTGCCCTGTTTACCTGCAGTGAGGCTCCAGCCCTCCCCCTACACACCTGTGCACAGGTAACACCTCCCAAAGCTCAGGTGGGAGAGAGACAGTGACACACAGCACTGTCTTCACTCAGCACAGAGCACCACGGCACAGCAAGAGAACCTCCAGGACAGCGACATTCAGGACACTCATACTGCAACTACTGTACACGCAGAATCAACTGGACCGGTGAGTCTGTCTGTCTGTCTGTCTGTCTGTCTGTCTGTCTGTCTGTCTGTCTGTCCGTCTGTCCGTCCGCCCGTCTTGTACACGCAGATTCAACTGGACCGGTGAGTGACATAGTCTGTCTGTGTGTGTGTATTGTACACGCAGATTTAACTGGACCGGTGTGTGACAGGGTCAGTTTGTCTGTGTGTGTGTGTTTGTGTGTACAGTAAGTATATCAGCTGTCCCTGATATAAATGAGTGCTATATATATATATTCAGCGTATAGTTGAATATATTCACCATTGGGTACTGATTAAGAGATTAAGTGTATACTGTACTCTGATACTTGTTAAAGGTATACTGTACTCTGGTACTGGTTAAGAGCATAGGGAGTATGTGCGTGGGTCTGTGTGTAGCGTGTGTGTGTTGGGCTTGTGATGTTTTTGTTCTGGGCTGCGTGGTGTGTGTGTGTTGGGGTTGTGTTGTCGATGTGCTGGGCTGTGTGGTGTGTTCATGTGGCGTGTGTGTGTTCTGGTTGTGTTGTCGATGTGCTGAGCTGTGTGGTGTGTCTGTGTGGTGTGTGTGTTGGGGTTGTGTTGTTCTGAGCTGCATGGTGTGTGTGTTGGGGTTGTGTTGCTGTTCTGGGCTGGGCTGTGTGGTGTGTGTGTGTGTTGGGGTTGTGTTGTTGGATTTTTCCAGAAGTCACTGTCTGTTGTGTGCCTCTCACTGCTGCTCCAAACAGCTTCACACTCCCCTGTGGAGGAAGTGGGATTTCTAGGAAATTAATGACATATTTCCCTGGAGGATTAACTAGTTAAACACAGCAGAAGCCCTTTCTGTTCATTTTAATCTAAAAAAGCAAACTTTTTAGATTTTTCATTTAAAAGATGGCTGGTTTCTCCCTCCATTTCTCCTCCTCTTCCTCACTACCTGGCTCTTTACCCATAGCAACAAGCTCCCTGGCAACAGCAGAATACAACACAGGGTTCTTCAACAGGATCAGGTGGGGGCAAACTCCCCCTGAGAGCCAACCAGTCCCAACTAACAGCACAACTGCAGTAAAATCACAGTACAGTGCAGTAAAGCCCAGTGAGATCAGGGTAAAAGCATAGTACAGTGCAGTAAAGCCCAGTGAGAT